GCTGTCGCGACACTCCCGAGGAGGCCGACAGATGACGCTTCCGCGAAGTGAAGTAGTGAAGGGCAGTCAGGTGTCAGTAAATTAGAGAATATCTGAATAAAAAATGTTATATAATACAAGTGAGCAAATTAAATAATGCGACAACGAACATTTAATAGAAAGTTACAAAAAATAGAAATTATAAAATGCAATATAAAAGTACAAGATAAAGTAAACAGAATAAACTGTCACATACAAATCAAAAGTTTTGAGATCGTTCATTTTCGAGCTTTTTTAATTGTACCTGAAAAAAAAAGGAAAGAATAAGATAAAAAATTTTGCCCTGCTCAGGTTTTTTAGCTTTATGTTCTATGAAAAGAAGAAAAATTTGAAGAAAAAATTTGTTTGAGGTGAACTTTGGTTGTGACTGATGTCGCCCTACTCGACCAATAAGTATACTTAAGTTTCTCCATTGCAAATATTGCAGATGTGCTAAGCAACCGTTCATACTCCTGGACTTGCTGAATGGGATTTAAATTAATTGATCGTGTCAGATAAGGAATGTCGCCCACATTGGCTGTATATGTGGTTGGTCTGATTATCCTCACCCGAAGCCTGTGCTGGCCTAGCTCGTGTCCTCCGAATTCCGTTTCACTAAATCCTTTCGGTAAATAGTACCTAAGTTTTCTGCCTCCCCACCTGGTTTCATACTCAAAACGTCCAGGTTCTAGCTGACAAACTTCCGCTTCAACAATCATCCCACTATCTACCGCCACCTTATTTCTCTGAATTCTTTCATCATAAACTCACTCCTGGCCTTCCAAGCCGATTGCTGAAATAACTACCACTGGTGGCCTAAGTTGCCAGAACTCAATCATAGCTAAGATTGCAGATACTGATGGAGAGGATACAACCTGAAAATCTTTTGCCTGTACTGGAGGCCGTAGCTTTCCCTGATGTATGAAAGCATCGACAGGCAATTGCCCGAAAACCGGTACAGTTTTCACTTCCCTCTATGCCTGAGCTACCTCATAAGATTTAACTTTAACCTTATCAAGAGGATTTAAAAGACGAGTGGTTTCAATCTGCATCAGCAGTGAAGCTCTGCGCAACATACTATAGTTGAACGGGTCATCTATATCTAGGACTAAAATGACGTAATTACGTTTGACCTGTGCGACCATGTAAGTTACTTCAGATTCCATAGCCGTAAGGTTTGTCCAAATAAGAGACATGGTGTATGATTATGAACTGAAAAAATTGTCGACTACTCGAACGGCAAACATGAACAAAACAAAATAAAAGAAATACTGAATTAGTAACCGAATTGAATTTGAAAAAGAATAAATGAAATTTAACAATAACTTTTTGAAGATTAAAAAAACGAATATTGAATACGAATTCAAGTTCAAATATAACCGAACTTATAAATAAAAAAGATTCAAAAATGATTTCAATAAAAATCACACATTTAAGTAAAGTATTAAACTTCAAAAAAATTGAATGATGAAAAATATAGAAAACAAGACCAAAAATAAAAACACAAAAGTTTCAATTAATACGAAATTTAATAAAACCGTAACCGCAATTCAAATTACTGAAGGAACAGAACTTATTAAACAAATCAAAAGCGAAATTGTAGACCAATAGCAAAAAGAATATGAAATTAGAAAATTCTGAAACTTTAAAGTGACGAAACTTGACCGAACTTCAGAGGAAAGAGGAGCGCTGACGACCGTTCAATACACGTCTGTTTGGTAGAATGTCGGTTACAGATTAGATGTAGCCGTTTTTCCGTATTTTGACTGAAGCAACTATACCAATCTTCCATTCCCACGCCTCATGTCTGGTTCTTTGACCAACACTATATCTCCCAATTTAGGGGTCGGAACTGTGCGGATGTCTAGGATTTAAAAACTTAAACATAAAGTGTGTCTTCCCAGTGTGTTCAACAAATCTATACCGATCATCAGAAGTTGGAACTAGACTACCATGCAACCATTAGAATAATTTTGGGGAATTAGGAAAAAAGATTGTTTCCTAGGTTTTTGTTTTTTAACTTCTTGCACAAAATGACTTCTGAAAATCTGAGCCTACGTCTTGTAACGTATCCTTAAAAGGACGCTATTAAGAGGCAGACTTAGAATCAGGCACTACAAACCGCATTTTCCAGGCTGGCAATAATGAGTCTCGAGTTTAAATTAGTTGTTATTACAGCTTAAACATCGATCCCGATCGACAATGTTAGCCTTCCTTCAGTACTCCTAGTTTAACTTTTCTCTCTTCTATTCGCTGCAAAATGTACTCCTTAGCAGCAGTAGTTATCCAATCTATTTATAGAAATTGTGTTTTTTATCATACTTTGTAGTAAGTCATTTGTGTTTGACGTTATTCAAACTTTTTGGTTTCTGCTGGAGTTTGCAACTTTGTAACTTTGTATTCGAAAAATTGAAGTTGCTCTCTGAACTCTTCTCATTATGCTGTACCGTCAGTTGCATTACCTAGACACATGTTCTCAAATGATGATATAATCGCAATGATTAAAGGTTATTGTGAGAATAAAATCTTTTACTGAGATAGATGAAATGCTCATCCTGGACACCAACAGTTGTATTCCCATTTTCACGTAGACTAATTGTAACTGACAGCGCTTCCATTGGCACCAATTGTTAAACACTTGCATCCAGTCATTTTTGGCATAGGGGTCTGCGTTAGGCAAAGCTAAGCAACCATACAACGCATTCCTTATATAACAACTACGGTCACTGCTTGCAGAAAAATTTTTTATTATTTACCGTTAAAGTCACACATTACTGTCACTTCAGTATTTCAGTGTCATTGGTTTTCGTAGAAATGCTGACTGTTCTTTAGCCTGTCCCACCATGCTGATCTACTTTTAGCCAATCAACAGATTACATTTCTGATACAGTATAAGAATATCACAAGCAGCATTTTTAAATTGTTGCTTATGATTAGAGATAGCTGTTCATTTTCCTATTATTTGGTCAACACAAGTGGTACAGAGTTGGTTGAAAATAAATATGTAGTGAGCAGAACTAGAACGAGCAATTTACAAAAGTTCTTCCAAGTAAGAAAAAAGATTAATTTGGTTTGATTACACAATTTTGAGAGGATCAAGGAAAGGTTGTTCTCTTTTAACATGCTCTATCAGAAAAAAGGAAGACCGACAAGTGTTTTTTACTAAGGAAAGGCAAAAGGTTAGGAGAGGACGACAGCAGCATTTTTTTTAATGTGACAGTTAAACACTGAGTTGTTGATGCCCTTTCGCCTCTTATCCGAAAGTATCTCTTTCCACGTACTACTATTATTTCAGAGAAGTGAACAGTTTATAACGGCATTGAAGACCTGCCTAAAGCATATTATTACCTGACAGTCAACAGTAAGCTGCACTTTATTGACCCTGTCACTGGTGCTTCCATAAATACTGTTGAATCGCTCTGTCAAAAATTCAAGGAAGCTGATGGTGAGCGTTATAGAGCTGTGCAAACTCCCTCCAGACAGCCGTCTTCCGCAGTTTATGTGGGAAAAGCTGTTTAAGCAGGATCCATTGTATTCAAATTTTCAAAATGTATCCAATCACAGCTTTTGATTAACAGCTCTAGTTCTTTCAAAAAACTCGAATTACTGTTTTACTTTTCAGTGATACCCAGTTTTTGGAATCCCTTAGCAGAAAGAGCGCTTTTGCTCTCCTTAAGCTGCTGCTCCGTTCCAAATGCGCAACAGGTTTTTGCTTACTGCAGTATTGGGTAAATGGACTAAAATGGGTCAATCTCATCCACTGCTTTACCTCCTTTACGTGCTGTCTTTCCTCTTTTCCAACATTCAACAACTCATTTCTGCAAAACGTTCTTGCCTGGTTTGATAATCTGCAACCACTCATTTGCATCCTCTGCCTCTCGTTATTACCCAGATGGAACGCGTGATCTTGATTTTCTACACTGTCTGTCTTTACCTCACAAATCTGTTCGCAATTCAGCGGTGAACTGTATGAAAAACCTCATTTAGACCGTATTTTTAGTTTTATTGCTCTTCAACTAGTGGAGCAGGTGGGTGCCGCTCGGCTGTAGCCTCATGTGGGATTTACCATCCTGCATTGCCTAGTTGCGCGAATCCCGCTTCAGTGAAAAGGTCTTCTTCATAGGCTCCTCTTACTGCAGCAGAGAAAAAAAATGGAACTACCAAGCTACAAGAGCTAAGAACTATCTCTAACAAACACGTGTATCGCAATTCTCAGATAGCGTAGGTGGGTAATGTGAGCCGACTACTGGGCAGACGTTGATTAAAGTAATTGTAGCATATCATTCAAGACTTTTCAAGACATATAGGGACATCACTTTGGTAAATGTTTCCTAGTATTAAGAGGTTGTTGCTTGTTCACAACACTTCGAATTTTGCTGATTCCTTGCAAGTTTTCAACTGTAAAATTGCCACCTGTAATTCACTCTTCCTCAGATTTGCAAAATTTGTATATTTTAAAGTGTTGAAATAGAGTTTACTTTCCATTTAACAATTTTGAAACGAAAGGTTCTTGAAAATTAATTCTGCCAGCACTACACAGAACCTTCAATCGAGATTCGGACGCTTTCGCAAACATTCCAAAGATCCATGCCCAAACTTCTACTGTAAAGTCTTGTCTCTTACAGCGTGTAGCAATCTATAAACCAGCAGAATGCTCAAACGACTCACCAAGATTTGTAACTACAAAAAGTTTTTACAGCAAAATTTGTTAAACTTCTAAATAGTGGTACTAGGCCCTGTCTCGCGGCCAATTCTAATGTAAAGATAAACAATGCGCAAACGCGGAAATCATAAATCTTATAAAAAACAAAAAGGTCTGTTATAAAGTGAGCAGAAATTTACTATGCGAAAAGCCGCCGATCACTGATAGTATGACTTTACTTAAAATGACTGAAAAAGGGTGCCCTAAAATGCAACAGTAAAAATATGTGGTAAGTCGAAGAGAGGGGTTGGAAAAAAAAACCTGTATCGACTTTTACAGCCTTCTAAATCTTCTGGGCAAATCTTACGGTGTCTCTGAGACTTTCGAGGAAGTTTCCTTGGCTTGCCATTTCCACGGCTAAAGAAAGATACTAATTTACTATTGGTGACAAGACAGTGGAGTGAGCAAAAAGATCTGCAAAAAAATGCAGCCTTAAAATACCGACTTAACAAACTCCTCCACTTTGCTCATGTTACCTAAGCCAGAAAAAGAGTGAGATTTTTTTGTTTTGGTTACTTGTTCGTGCTATTCTGCACCTGTTATGGACTCGAGAAACAAGACCAGTTTGATAAAAAATTGAACAAACACTTCTGCTGTACGATTAGAGCTTGTCTGAATAAAATCTTGTGCAAAATGTACTGTAATGAAAGCACACGGACAATTATAGTAACGATTAGAAGCGAGGGTATCGAGTAAAGAATTCATACTATCAGACATAACTTATAACAATGGATAACTGGACGCAGCATCTATTAATAAAGCTGTATTTATCTACAATGATGTGAAGCTATAAACTGCCATGTAAGAAGCCTCTCAACTTTTATGTCTCTTATAAGAAAAAAATAGAAGTTAAATTCCATCTGGAAAATTATATCACATTACAAAAAAGCTTTTAAAATATTTGGCTACGTGCGCTCTTCCACAATTTGAAAGCTAAAACAAGTTCAACAGCTATATGCATTACCGCTATCATATTCTCAAATTCATTAGTCAATCTTGTTCATAGTCTTAAATAATTTAGAATAGACAATTCTAAGCCGCCAGCGACCCTTGTAATTTAACAGAAACGTACTTACAAGATGCAGTTAATCAAAACAGGAGAAAAAAAAAAGAAAAAAGAACATCCCGGACAATTAGGTCTCTCATGTTTCAGAAAAAACATATATTTATACAAAATTAAGTCGGCCTAAAAATAAGGAAAAAATTAAAAAGCAGCATCTCACCAAAAAAGGTGTGCAACTGAAATAGCATGAGATGATGCTTAGGCCAAGATAGATCTCTCTGCAAAATGGCACCAGGAAATACATTATATGGACTGCTTGAGCAATGACGAAGAATTAATAGAAAAATAAAATATAGCAAAAAGACTTGAAAAGTTCACAAGTATTAATAACACAGAGTTATCTGTACAATTTTTGTTTCTCTGGTTGGCTTTTTTACCTTTTCAACTCATTTTTCCAGCTTAAAAACCCAAAATCTACATCGTTTTAAACCCTGAAAAACAACAATGGACACAAATTCCCTGAAAGCTCCAATAAACTTGAAGACAGAATCTATCATTATCTCAGAAATTCTCTAACAACGGAGCATCACACGTCGGTAACTTCATCGGAGTTAACAAGTTGTGCCTTATCGCCTTCTCCCCCTCTTACGGTGTTCCTTGGAGGAATCGGAGGTCGCAAGAGGTCTGCTTGTGTAGCTAAAATGTTGATAATTAAATAACATAAAGAAACTGTCTGTAAAATGCATGCCAGAAAGAGCAAGTTTTACCAATTATTGAAGAAGACGGCTCTGGCTTAATGTCAGTATTAGTGAACGACTGGGACTGCGAAGAAGAATCTTTGGCAGAATTAGAAGTTGGAGGACCGGACTCTTCCATTTCGTATACTGGATTTGAAAACGTAGTCGATGACTGAGTAGCATCTGCACTCAGTTGAGCCATACTGTATTCAACAGGTGTCCCATCTGTCTGAAAAAAGCAACACTTAGATGCAAACGAGTGAAAAAAATTGGAAAAAAATACCACTAACAACAAAGTTTACCTGTTTCTGGTCCAATACAGGGTTGCTAAATGAGATAACATTCCCATGGAAGGAAACCGTACCATCTGCATCTTCATTCTTTTTGAAAAGTAAAACTCTCTTTTTGTATATATTAACAGCAAAGAATGCCACCATGCCAAGACAAACAATCAATGCTGCCAACAGCAGAAATATTAAAGCTGCATTCGTACTCGAAAATCCAATAAGCTGCAAGTGTTATTTCAAAAACCAACTCATTTTTTCCTAACTGTAAACAACCGTAATGTAGATAAGATGTACAATTTACCTGTCTTGACACAGTTGGTGCCTTCTGACAGAACTCCCCTTCAAAATCGCCACAGTCGCATGTTCCGTCCAGTTTACATGCTCCACCATTCTGACATAAACACTGTTTTGGCACAAACAGTTCTTCTATCTTCGGTGATGCGCAAGAACCATCCTGCGATTAAAACGAGAAAATGCAGTAAAAATACTGTCATTTCAAAACAAAACAATTCCATGTAAATGCAGACCTCTAAGGCAGCGCAACACGCAGTCACGGAAAATATGGTTAACGAATTAAAGCAGTACTAGAAGAAAAACTTGCTTACATCTAAAGGTTCATTATTTCCTGGACACAAACAAGCGTAGTTTTTGCCTGGCAACTCCACACATAAATGCGAACAATTAGCCTGCTGACATGCAGATGAAGCACGGGCAACATCACGAGCGAACCTATGTTGTATTCTAACACTATGCGCATTACGTAAATCCGAAGCTAGAACGTGCACACGCCCTCTGCCAAATTTATCCTGAAATTCCACTGTTACTCTTGACACTTGCCCGCCAGTTTTATCTGGGTATTTCACACATGTCGATTAGAAGAGAGGAAGTATTTCTAGCACCTGTACGTAAAGATTTTGCGTATCTTTTGAGGCCCAGTAAAGATTGTTCTCAAAAACGTCAATACACCATGGCGCCCTACTGTCATGAACTACAGTCCAACGTTTAGTACCTGAAAATATTTTCTAAAAGATAGTATTTCGGTTTCCTGACAAAAGGTTGTAACATTTGTGTAAACAAATTTCAGCGTAAAAGAATAATTACTCAGTCTTCACAGATCTTAGTAACCCCAAAAGTCATTTACTAAAAATAAAAGTTAATGTGAAATGCATTACCATTAGGCAAAACTGATTCAACTTTATGATATTTTGGGTCTGCCCAGTAAATACGATTATCCTTCCCCTCATCAACAGCCATGGACGTGGGTGAAAAAACAAAATCTCTAACAATTACCTGAAATTAGAATAACCTTGAAGAAATTATGAAAGAAAAAACTGAAATGAACATACCTCTCGATGTCTGCCATCCATATCAGCACATTCAATTTTTGCGTCCGTTCCAGCATCCGCGTAGCAAATGCGACCCAACTGAGGTAATGCAACCAAAGCAGTTGGCAACTGCAAACGACCTGCGACCACTTTCTTCAAATACCGCCCGTCAGATTTCGCAACAAATACAGCTCCATTGCTATCTTTCCTTGGCTCTGACATCCGCTTTCTACGCGAATATACTTCTAGATCTTCTCCGTTCGTTACTGCAGTAATATACAAATTTCTGCAATGCACGTAAGTGTAACCACCTATCAACAAATCGTCACCTTACAAAATCTTTTGGCTTTAAAGTACACAACCGCAGCAATAGTTCACCACTCAAGACCCTTGTTTAAAAAAAATTGCTTGAGCTTCTACGCAGATAACAGAATTTGCAAAGTAGAAAGGTTATTTGATGGAGAGCGAATGAGTATAAAACAGAATTGGCTAAAAGAAAAACAAAGCAGAAACGAAAAATTAATCTTGATAGATTATAGGCAGTATTTGGGAAAAAATAAAGCAAAAGACTATAATAGTGACCCAGTAAGGTAGTCAACCGCAATCGCAGAAGGCGAAACTTTTAGTTCATTGAAGTCAATATCCAAAGCCTGTCCAATATGTGACTGGTTGCCTGAAATTTTAACGAAGCACTGAAAATACCTGCAGAAACGCAGATATTCATTTCATAAAGTAATAAAACACCTTTTGCAACTGCTGATCTAAATATTTTATTTTGTTGAGTGTCAATCCAGAACATCAGTTCACGACGAGGGTCAAAGTCGATCGCAATTATATTGTTTTCATCTCCCGAGTTTGCTGCGGCATGTCGATTAGCTCCGTTCGAATGCGTCAGACTTAATTGAAGCATTGCACTATCGGAAGCCACCATGACTACGGCCGAGTCACCCTGAGGAAAGCAAACAATGACATTGCGGCTAGCGAACCTTCATTGAAAACTGATTCAAGTTCATTGGTGAAGAATTAAGTTGTTATTACATAATACAAAAATTAATATCGACCAAAAACGAAATGAATCTACAATAAAACTATTTTATCAAGTGAACCTTTGCCCTGCAGTCTTTTCCAGTCATTGCTCCAACAACCACGTTATTTTCATAGTCCTCCAAACAGCTACATAGATACGACCCTTTGGTGTTCAAACAGAGCTGCAATATGGCGTAGTTCGGCAACGAAGAATCAAAACTAACGCAGTTGGTATGTAACTACGAATATTTACTTTGACCAGCAAGAAACCAGTCACCAACCTACAGTTCCCGGTCATTAACGACCATTAAAACACTCATTTGATTAAATTAGTTTTCATATTGTTAAGAAAACCTTTCAAAAAAACACGAATTACTAGACTGTCTAGAAAATTTTCTAAAAGTGATTCTTATTTTTATTAAACAAGTGGTGAAGAAAATAGCTACAATAATGATGCTAATTGTTACAGGCAAAAGTATGCATTTCTCAGCAGCTGAACAGAACTGAATTAGCTTCTCAGTCACTCACCTGAGTACAAGTGTTATTACCGGCACACTCATCGATGTCAACGCAGTCATATGGATCCATAGGATCAGGTTGGAATCCGTCGCGACAGTGACAATAGTATCCCCCAGGAACGTCCGTACACAAATGTTTGCAGCCCCCATTTGCATGATTTGTATCACAAGTCCTACCTTGCCTCTTAGCTGCAGTAAATAAATCAAATGTTTTTGAAATAAAAGGCAAAACAAGCAAAGAAAGAATAGATATGGAGAGCTACTGCTAGAATTGACTTACTACATCCAATTTCATCACTGGCATCACCGCAATCATCATTACGGTCACATGCAAGCGTTGCATTAATGCATTTGCCATTGGCGCACTTAAACTGATTTGCTGAACAGTCCCCATATTCCGAAAATGAAATACACATCGATAAATGTTCATCTGAGAAATCATTTTCACCACACTCGTTAACGCCGTTACAAAGCTAAAATAGGTCTCTTCAGTGGCAAGGAAGCATCTTGGTTAATACTTTAATAAAAAATAATTTGCAGCATTATAAGACAACCTGAAGTATATTCAAGCATAACTTCGAGTGAGCACATCGGAACCGAAGAGGCGGATCACAAGAAGCACTCTTGCACTGCTCATTAGTCTCATCTGAATTGTCTCCGCAGTCGTTGTCGCCATCGCACGTAAACTTTTGCGGAATACAAACAGAATTGGTACATTCAAATTCAAAAGGACTACACGCGCGACGATCTGGCTGCAAGTAACAGAAGAAGATTTGTTAGTTTTCATAACTTTTACCGCAAGAGAAAAATACTATCTATACCTTTTTCAAAGACAAGTAAGACCCGTGAAGAATCAGGCTGAACTTACGTAGTCTTCACAGTGAAGCTCATCCGACGCGTTTGGACAATCTTTTCGACGATCGCACCATCGATGTTCTGGAATACAAGTTCCGTCATCACACTGCCTATATCCTGCATTGCATTGTCTCTTCTTACACTGGGACTCGTCTAACCCATCGCTGCATTGCACAGTGCCGTCACATACCTAAAAAAAAATAATACCAAAAAAAGACGAAAAATTACTTTATTGGCCAGAACTTCCAGGCTAATGACTATTGCCCCAATTATCTGTTTAAGATTTTATCCCTAGAAGTAGAACGAAAGACTCGCTTTGTTGCCAGGTATGCAGCGTCCATCGTTACAACGGAACTCCGATTCAGAACAAGGCCTAGACGTTCCACCGCAAGATGCGTCTGTCTCATCAGAATCATCGCCGCAGTCGTTTTCGCTGTCACACATCCATCTTCTGTAAACGATAAATATTTTAATCTGTTCAGGCGCAAGTAAAGGCGAATAACTTGTTTAGTAAAGTGTTAAAACCCTGTTCGCGTTCAGCTTATCAGAAAACCTACCTTGGAATACATTTGCCAGTGGTTGCACACCTGAATTCGCCAATATCATCACACTTTGGACACCTTTCAATTACTTCATCAGAATTATCACGACAATCATCTTGGCCATTACAGAATGCCCAGTCAGGAATACATCTGTAAAGTGTTCACGAAAAAACATTTATATGCTTAATTACTTGTAATAGTCTGAAACAGATGTGTATATGTACGTTAGGTCCAAACAGTGTAAGTTAATAAAACAGTAAACGTTTCCAGATGACTCAAGATTATAAACCTGTATGATGTAGCACATCGCGTCCAACCTTTCCTGCATTCAATGTTAGCACATTCTGGAGGCTCGTCGCTCTTGTCACCACAGTCATCATCATTGTCACATTTCCAAGCTTTGGGGATACACTTATGATTGGTACATCTGAACTCTTCAGCAGTACAATTCCGTAAAGGATTTTCTAAAAAATATATATAAAGCTGAAGTTCAGTAAAAGTCACTATTTGTCTACAGTATTTTTTTTAAAAGAATGAGGCAAAACCAACTGCAGACAGCGTCTGATTCGTCAGAGCGATCACCGCAGTCGTCATCACCATCACAAGTAAATCGCTTCGGAATGCATTTTCCGGTGGAAACGCATTTAAACATCCAAGAATCACATGGCTTATCACAGTCAACCTAAAACCATGTTATCCGAAAAGCGTCATAATACCAACAAAAAAAATTGCGCCTGACAACTCATACCTCATCTGATCCATCACCACAGTCATCATTACCGTCACACAGTTGGAAAGGTCTTGTACAGTTGTGGTTATTGCACTGGAATTCACCCACAGGACAAATGCGTGGACCTAAAACAGTAAAAGTTTAGATTTTGAAGCTAAAGAGAACATATAACAGAGAAAAACCAGAGAGTAAATTGATAGCTTGGCAACACACATAGTTCGAAAGTGTCTCAGTGTTATTAATGACTGAAAAACAAATTTTACCGCAAATGTCTTTTCCAGGTTCATCACTACCATCTCTGCAGTCACGTTCACCGTCACAGTACCACAATTTTGGAATGCACTTAGCATCGTCACCGCCACAGGCGAACTGTCTTTCAGTGCAGTTAGGCTTACATGTTCTATTGTCAGAGAGAAGAATGAACTGATCCGGGCAGGCGCAAGAATAACCGTTGGCTCCAACAGTTATTAAACACAAATGAGAACAACCTCCATTATTGCTGCCACAAGGATTCGTGAAATTTGGTTGGCGG